CGCGGCGGCGAGGGGCCGGGGCAGGGGCGCGAGCAGAGGCCCGTGCGCTGGCCGGCGGTCAGGAGTGAGAGTCCTGCGCAGGCCAGAGAGCACACAGCCCGGGGCAGTGGGAGGCACGGCCGCCCAGATGCCCGCTGCCCAGCCTGGGCCACAGCCCCTGGGCCCGTCCTGCGGCCGGCTCGGCTCAGGACCGGGCCTCGCAGGAGCCCGTCCGCCCAGCAGATGGCACAGGCGCTGCCGGGCGAAGCAGAGATGGACGCTCCTGCACACCCGACTCCCTGGACCGAGGCCCCAGGGCGCCCCACGACCCCGAGCCCCGGCGGGGACGCCAGCTTGGGCAGGGGCGTCCCGGGGCCCAGCAGGGGGTCTGGCCGTGGCGCCCTGGGGGCCGGGCGCTGGCTGCAGCGCCTGGGAGGAATCCGTTTGCCCAGTGATTCAGAGCACGCCAGCGGCCCCGCCGTAAAGCCAAACTCGCCCTCCTCGGCCGGGGGCCCCGCCCGGGGACATCCGGGCGCTCCCCGCGGGCCGCACCGCCACCCTGCTGGCAGGTCAGGCCCGGGTGGTGGGGCCCCCCCGCCCTCGCAGCCTTGGGGACAGGGCTCTGGGCCACGGGCTGTCACCCCCACTCGCCAGAAGCGCGAGGGTGGTGTTAGGCCACTCCGGGGGCACACGAGGGGCCCCCTTCACCGAGTCTGCTGCCCCGGCCCTGGGGTCAGCCCTGCCGGGCGCCCACCAGGTGGGCTGGCCAGCAGGGCCGTCCTCGCCCTGGGCAGCAGCAGGACCACCCTCCAGCAGGCTGGCCAGGTGCTGCTGGGTTGGGGAGTCGGGCCGCCTGACATTTGGGGTGCAGGAGTGGGTCCTAGGTCAGAGTCTGCCCACCAAGGGCTGTGTGCACTCCATAGGACACTACTGGTCTGGCCAGTGTCCCGCAGGGCTGTCCATTCTCCCCCGTCCACCCCTGCCTGCAGCCTGGTGGCCCAGGGCCCGGACCCCACCAGCACCGGCCGCCCATGATGCCCGCGCTGCTCCCAGGATGCAGGGGACACTGGGGTGCTGGCCGGTGGTGCTGCCCAACAGGGAGACCCCAAGGGCCAGACCCCTGCCCCAGGGCTCTGGGCCGCCGGCTCCATGCTGACTAGCTGGCCGTGCGGGCCCCTTGGCTTTGTTCGGTCACCATGACAAATACGGGGTATCAGAAGCCACTTCCTGTGCCCAATCAGGGCTGCTGAGTGAGTCAGCGTCCGCGATAACCTGGGCCGAGGCGGCCCTGGGTGCCGCCGGGGCCGTGCCCCCCCGGAACCCCCGCGCCCCCCGCCTCAGTGCCCCCCCCCGCCTCCGCGACGCCCGTCTCCGTGCCCCCGTCTCCGTGCCCTCCTCCAGGCCTCAGGGACCTCCAGGCCTCGGGGCCCCCCCAGGCCTCAGGGGCCCCCCCAGGCCTCGGGACCCCCCCAGGGCCGCACTGGCCTCCCACAAGCACATTCAGCAACAGATCTGGGGAGAGGCAGGCGGTGGGGGCCCCTGGCCGCGGCCTGGGCCCCCCGTGCCCAGTGTCCCTGCTGTGTCCTCTGCCCACGGCCCCCCTCTTGATGAAGCCAAGGCTCGGGGGGGGCGGCCCCCAGGCTGGCCCTGGCCCATGTGGCCCTCGCTGAGGACACGGGCCGAGCTGGGGGCCGCCCCGGCCAGGGCGCTGACCCGGAGGAAGCGGCGCTCTCAGGCTGCCCGAGCGGAGCCTGGCGGCAGCCCCCACCCCCAGCTGGCTCTGCCCCCACTCGCGGGCCGCACGCTGGCAGGGTCTCTGGCACGAGGCCTGCTGGACGGGGCGGCCGCCAGTGACATGCGCACCCCCATGTCCGGGCGCCCAACCTTGCCTGGGAGGGTGCTGGCCCCCCACCGGCCCTCAAGGTCCCCCGCACAGGGTCCCAGCCCGGGGACCCTGGGGGTGGGCCTGCCCCTTGGCGCCCACCTCTGCCCTGCTAGCCCCTGGCACCTGGTGCCCAGTGCTGAGGCCGGGCAGGGGCCTGGGGGCTGAGGAGATGTCCACTGGCCAGCGCCACCCTGAGCCACGCTGCCCACCTGCCCCACGCTCAGCGCGTGCTCGTCTCACGCCCCCACCTCCCCCAGGGGACCCC